AATAAAATATAAAAGATTTAAAAAAGTAAATAAATATAAATAATTAAATAAAAAATAAAAAATAAAATATAAACTTATAATAATTAAAAAATAAAAGTTAAAATATATAGTTAATAATATAATATATATATTTAAACTAAACCTAATATATATATTTATATTATAAATATAGAAATTAATAAAAAAGAATTTTAATTAGTTTTAAATATATTTTTATATTATAGTTTAATTATTAATAGTTAAAGAATAAAAGGTTAGGTAAAGTAGCTTATTTATTTATTTAGTTTACTTATTTATCAATTATATTAGTTATTTTTAAATAATTAATAAGCTTTTTAATAAAAAGTATTTTTATTTTTTAAGTTATATAAGTTATATATAACTTTAATAGATATAGTATACTAAATCTAATAATAATAAATACTACCTATAACTTAGTTCTAGGTAAATTACCTAAGATTAAATCTCGGAATTATAGCCTAAGCTATAGTAATATTTCTTACTATATAAAAAGTTATCTATAACTACATTTTTTAGATAACTAATGTAATAGTTAGGGAGAACTATAAAAATCCTATAGTATTCTATACTATATATATATATATAAAGTTATTTTCTCTTTAAAGATAATATATATATCTATTTTAATTATTATTTTCTAATTAGTACCTTTAGATATTTAAAACTATTACATTTTATATAAGATAACTAGAAATATATCTAGAAAGACTATAATATTAGTAGTAACTAAGAAAAATTATATAAAGACTTTTAATTATAAGTATTAAACCTAAGTAGCTAATTCTAACCAAGTAGATATATAATATATATATAGCCTATATATAGCTATAAATAACTAGTAACTAGCTAGTACTAGCTATTAAGAATTAAACTTTTATATTACTACTATTACTACTACTATTACTATTACTGTTCTTTATAGATATAATAATAAGGTAAATAATAGAAATATAGTAAATAATAGAAAATAAAATAAAAAAGGCAAAAAAGGTATTTTTAAATCTATAAGGAAGTCTTATATCTTTATATAAGGTTTATAAGCCTATATATACTATAAAGAATAAATATAACTAAGATATTAATTAAGGAAAAATAGTAGTAAAGAAAAGAAAACTACTTTAGATACTTAATAAATAAAATATACTTTAACTTATTTTTCTTAGTTTTATTAGGTTAATCATTATATGAAACTGCTATCTATAGCTGAACTTCCTGTAAATACTATAAGCTTGGTCCTCACGGGAGTAAGGCGAGGCATGTTGGGCCGGAGGATGGGGATGGTGTAGCCGCGCTAATGCGGCCGTCGTAACACTAGACAGAGAATGCCTTAGCAATGACTGAAATAAAGAAGACCAAGCTTGGCAGTATGATACAGCCATCGCAAAAACACAGTGGGTTGTGTGCAATTCATTTACGGACGTGTGTGTGATCTGCTAAGAAATATAGACTACTACCTACGGAGTATGGCATAAGCGAATGTACGGAGCTTCGCGTGTATTTGCATGGTTGTGCACGCAGCGGACGCGAGGTCTACTTTTGGTCGCTTACGCTATTTTGAGCCTCTTTTGAAGGAGTCAACAAGATCCGCAGCGGCTAACGCCGGCCAGCAGCGCGAAGTCTGGGCATGCGCCTTGCGAATCATTTCATTGCATGCCGCTAATAGTAAATAGTCGAACAAGGCAACTTTGGCCAATCCTCAGCCGAATGTGCTGAAAATAGCATATGCCTGTTCAAGCCTCTCGACTAGGAACTGCGGTATTGCCGTTGTGCGCAATGAGAATTGGTGTACTTGGCAGGCAAGGCGGCGAGTGGGCGAACCCCCGCAAGTGGCGATAAGTACTTACATCGCGCCTCGCCTTGTCGGCAAAGGAAAATTTTCTTTGCCATATAGTTTTTTTTTTCAACTTTCTGTGCACGTTCTAGAGTCTCAGTGCGGTTCCAGGTACAGGTGCGAGGATGTCGAGCCTTTTCACTGATGTCTCTGCTTTTGCAGATGGTAGATCGTATTTTGAGGTTTGACTGCACTGCCACAATTATGTCCAAGCTGCCTAGGTTGGAGCAGGTTGCATCGGGCACAGGCGGTACAGAGCATTCACACTCTACCGAGATGGCGATGAGGCAGGAGGTGTCGGTCCACGTCACCAGTCGGGAAACCCCTAAAAATAGACGGATGGCATGCGCCGATTGGAGAGATGATACGACGGCGGCTGGTGCAAGGTGGGCAGCTGGCTCACGAAGGTACTCCACGTTCTGCCTTGCATAATAAGCGTAAATGAGAGAAAGCGAGGAGAGGACAACAAAATCAACCAAGTGCTCAATTTGCTTGTACTCTCTTGATGGCTCATTTACTCCAAGCTGAACTGCCTTGATCACCCCTTCGCAACTTGCTGCTCCTTTTTTTCGCCAGTTCTAATCTACTAAGTGTTACCATCATTTACTTGTCTCCTACCTACTCAATAACTAGACGTGGAGCTAATAATGATCCCGCCCCACGAAGAAATTCATACTTGGGATTATCCGTACACTCAACAACTCCCCCACCACCAACTTGGCCCAAAAGCCTCTTTTGCCTTGACACCCTTCGGCTTGGCTGCTCGAATTTTATAGCTGCCCTGTGGCGCAATACACATAGCTACGCCTACCTACTACCTATCTACTGCTACCTAGCCCTACTCTTCCATATCGCCGAAAAGTTGTTTCATAATCCTCCCTGCCCGCCTCCCTTCTGCCACTACCAGTTCTGCCGCTGCGTCTCGGCGCACTCAAGGTTGGTCTTGATGCAAACCGGGCTCCGTTGAGCCTTTTTATCGCCAATACCCGGTTCCGTCATTGAATAGCTGCTGGCCGCCGCCCACGGAGACAATCTGCCTATATCGACCGTTTCTTTATGGTTGGTTGGTTGCTGCCCGCTTCCTCACTCGACCCCTCTCTGAACAAACAGCCGAGCCTGACAATTCTAACGCCGAAATGGCTCCCGATTTTGGTGCAACTTTTGTCCCCGGCGGCTTCGATGATTACTACTTGCCAGAAGTCGTGGCACCCTCGCCACAGAGGTACGTTGCACGTTTACCCCTCTCGACATATTTTTCAACGCGCCGGAACCGATGAAACGGCTTGCGCTAATCTTCCGGCGCCTCGTGCAGAGTCACTCCTCAGGTGCCGCAGGCCATGCAAGACGATATCCAACGAATGGAGCTAGAAGCCGCAGAAATTCCCTCGCGACGGGAAAGCGATGGCGCACCACTCCAAGTCGGCGAGCCATCAACATCGCCGCAACCCTCGTACGCCGCCTCCGTAACTACTCATGACAAGAGCAAGAGAACAAGAGATTCTGCACAACAATACGCTAGCGCTTATCACAACGACGACTCGCTTTCGAGCCGCCTCGAATCGATATCATTGGAACGCGCCCCGTCCTTTTCCCCATTTCCCAAAGTTACAGGAGACAACATCCCACCCGCAGATGATGTCAAAGAAGAGATTCTTTGGAGCTCGCGCAAGCATGTCCTTCACTCTCAAATCATCGCCATGCAGATAAGCTGGGCCAGAGATGTTCTCAACTGGGTGGAAATATCCGTCGACGCCGCCGCCCGTGAGATTGCCGAAACGCCTCGTCCCTCGACCCCTCGCATTGAGCACGAGCTCCGCGTTGACGCCATGCATGTTATCAATTACTTGGCCGACCAAGAGCACCCAGACGCGCTTTACCTGCGCTCCAAGTGGCTGGAATTCGGGAAATTCGGAAACAGAGTGGACAAGCGAGAAGCTTACAACGGCTACACACGCGCCTCCGCCCTTGGACATGCTAGATCCGACTACCGCATCGGTATGCTTTACGAGCAGTCCAATGATATTTCCAAAGCCAAGGAACATTACTACAAGGGCATGAGCCTCAAAGACTCGGCTGCCCTCTACAGAATGGGCATGATGAGTCTCTTGGGACAACATGGAGAATCTAAAGACTATTCTGGAGGACTCGAGCGCATTCGTCTTGCTGCTGAAAGTTCAGACGAAGATGCTCCTCAGGGCGCCTACGTTTATGGCATGCTTATCGCACGCGACCTACCCGATATTGCTCTCCCTGAGGGCTTAATCCCGGCAAACGTGGAAACGGCTAGGATGTATGTCGAAAAGGCTGCATACCAAGGCTTTGCCAAAGCACAGCTTAAGATGGGCCAGGCCTACGAGCTCTGCCAGCTTGGCTGCGAGTTCAAGCCTGCGTATTCGCTGCACTACTACGGTCTCGCCGCCAAGCAAGGTATCCCGGAGGCGGCGCTCGGCGTTAGTCGTTGGTTCCTCTTCGGCCACGAGGGGACCTTCAAGAAGAACGAGGAGCTTGCCTACAAGTATGCCCAAGAGGCTGCAGTAGCCAAACTCCCAACTGGAGAGTTTGCTATAGGATACTACCACGAGATCGGTATTCACGTCAACAAGAGCCTCTCTGAGGCGAGAAAATGGTATGAGCTTGCCGCTGGGCATGGAAACACGGATGCTATTAGTAGACTGGATTCACTCGACCATGATAAAACCCTGTCCAAGAAAGACCACGAAACAACAACGCTCACCAGGATCAAGTCTCAACACGGTTCAATGCGGGGAAAACGACCGGAGCGTTTTGCTCAAGTCCAGCCACAACACTTGCCTACGCTGAACGAGGGCGAAGGTAGCGGCAGGCGCTCCAATGGCGTTTCTCCCATGCCATCTCCAGGCATCAAGCCTACCATCGTGTCCGAACACATTGCCTTGCCTGATGCATCACGAGCTTCCGTCGTCGGCGGCCTCGATACCACACCTCCATTCAATGTTCGCTTGGATTCGCAGCCTGATCGAGCGCAGTCTGCTGCACCATACCCCGTTGATGACCGGCCAGCACCACTCAATGTAAGCCGGCCCAAGTCTAGCGCACCCTATCCCGAGGATGAACCCACCCTAAAGTATATTCAGCCCTCTCAAGGACCTGGTCCCCAAGCCGACCGCCCAATTAGTGGTTTCGGCATTCGCACGTCTAGCGCTGGCGCTGTGCCCATCCATCCACATAATCACAGCCTTTATCCCACAGGACAGGCCAATGTCGGTCGTGGGCAACCTGTATCGGGATCTGGCGGCCATCGACTACCTCCTGCTGGTGCTCATCAAGGTGACATGAACTACCAGCGGTCGTCCACAACACAGCCCTATCCCAGTGATGCCTCGCCTTCCAACAATTTGCCAAGACAATCTCGTCAATCATATGGAGGTATTCCTCCTGCTGGCTCGCAGCACGGGTACGAGTTCGGCGCCCGAACCAGCTCTCGGCCTCAGCACGATGCCCCGCCGCCGCCGCAGCACATGTCCCAGCAGACATACACTCCACGCCTTCCTCTCACCGCCATTGGCAGCACCGGGAGACCGGACAGATACGGCTCTCTGCCCCCTCAGGATCCCAGGCAATCGAGAACACCCACAGGGCTGGGTTCACCAGACCCGTCGCGCCACGGCCGTGTACCAAGTCCCGGACCTGGCGCACCTTTGCAGGGCAGAGTAGGCACGGCACCGCCTGGAGGCTATCGGCCTCTGCCGCCTAAGGTTGAAAAGCCTTCTACGTCAACGCCCAAACCCAGCAAAGGCCCCGCTACTTTTGAGGACATGGGTATCCCCCAGGGTAAACATGATGGTGATTGCGTAAGTTCGTCCCGAATACCGAGGGTTTACGCTATGTATTAACATCTATCCTTAGGTTGTCATGTAAACTTTTGACAAACACAATCGAATGATCTGAGCTACTATATACACAATTTGGCATATTCACTGCGGCGATTGGGCATACAGGCGAGTGCGCCGCTTTTGTTCTGGAGTTTGATGAGATGCGAAGTTTTGTTCTTCTCTTATTAGTTGTTTTTGACGAGTGCTGCTGCTCGGATAGATCAGTGGTTCATATTACATCAACATATCGACATTTGATGATCTTGACCAGAGTGGACAGATAGCAAGAACCAGCGCTATTGACCAGGATACCTTCCTTGCCTTGAACAAATGTTGAGATTCGAATATTGAAACAAGTCTCTTACGAAGGCCGCAATTTCCAGATGAAGTGGTTGCTGAAGTTGCTGCAAATGTACGGCTCGCTACAGACAGACATGTGGCCCGAATGGCCTCTAGCTTGTAAGCGACTACGTCAGATGCATCTCCACGCCTTCCGACAAAGAAATGAGGAGAAAGGGCGGCACATTTTGTGGCCTCACGCCTTTCGATCAACGAGAAAGGACGGCGTTGCCATATCGAACGACATAGCCTGAGCGCCGATGATACCCCAATCCTCCAATGCCTAGTTCTTGTGGCTTGTCAATAGGATACCATTTTCAAAAGGCGAAAAGGCATGCTGTGAAGTCGGTGGAAAATTCAGACTTGCCCGACGCTAATTGCCCGACCCTGCAATATCATGATTGTTCAATCATCCCCGGCCATCCGGGTCTCCGTTCTCAATGACCGGTTGCTTTTTCATATCTGAGCACCACAACGAGTCATTTTGACGTAAACTGATGTCGAAAAACCCAAAATCGATAACTTATTTCGGTTCGTGAATGAGACATTCTGATAAGCCTAGAAGCCTGCTCACACGCTCGATGTTGCTTTCCCCTCTCCCAACCCGCGTCAGTAAGCCACAGCGAAGTGAAGGGCGGGCCGTCGCCGCCTCCCACCGAAGTCTCCCTGATTTCCTTTCCAACAGTACTTGAGGTCAGCTCCACCCGCCGAAAAAGACGGAGCAACTTATCAAATCACCATTCCGAAACAGGAAGACATCTGGCCGTCTTGTCGTCCTCGTCCGCCAGCAACCATATGTCTAACCCGGAAAAGGCCCCGGGGCCGCCGCCGCTGCCCCTGATACAGGATGCAGCCACCGAGGCGTGCCTTGGGCCGGCTTCACGACAAGAAGTGCGATGTCTGGGCGGCAGGGCAAAAGGCATTGGTGCCGGCGTGGTCACGCGCCGACGCAGAGGTGGAGGGGCACGATGCCCACAACGACAGCGAGATTAGCAGCGAGTATCAGCATCGCCATAACGGCGGCGCGCTTGGTGGTGGTGTAGTTGGCAGAAGTACCAAGCCGGTCATTTCCGAATCGAGTATTGAGCTGGGTCCGCCGCCGGACGGAGTCTGGGTCGCCTGGACGCAGTGTAAGTAGCATCCCTCCGCCCTCACCAACAAACCATTCACACTGACTCTTGCTTCTCTCCAGGTCTTATCGGCCACCTCGTCATCTTCACCACAATAATCAGTCTCTCTCAACCTGCTGATTACCCCCAGCGGTGTGGGAATCGTCGGCCACATCGTTCCCAACTTTACTGCCGATTGCATCGGTGCAGTCAACGTCTTCATGCCGACCTCCATCATCGTCTCTGTGCTCGTGTACTGCTTCATCGCCATCTAAAGACCTGTGGCCTCTATACCTGCGTCATATTGGTCGGCGTCGTTGGCGCTGGCATCCAGAGCCTCTTCCTAGCCGTCCAGTCTTTCCTCACAACTAACCTGCGCAAGCTTGGTGTTAGTATGGGCATGGCTTTCGCCATTGTGGGGTTTGCCATGCTCACGGGACCGCCTATTGCAGGTACTATTCTTGCAAGCCCTGCTCGGTACACTAGCGCAAAGGTATTTGCTGCCAGTCCCATTGCTGCTGTATACGGTTTCTCGATTGCGGGCAAGGCGGCTAGGATACCCAGCAAGGGTTTTAACTGGATTAGTAGAATATAAGAGGGGCATCGCGGATGAGAACGGTCACCGATGATACTGTTTCAATAAATTGTCATATTTCAATTGTCGTATAGCTAATTCATGTTGTGCATTTGCCCGTTCTTCATACATGGGAGATGACCTACGCGCTACTTGTTTGTGATTGCATCGATGTGCTGTTGTATGGTATAAGATTTTTTAATTATGTTAAGGCGTTCCATTAGATAAGTCTGGCAGGCCAGAATTGCGTGTCCCAAAGGGTTTGGTAATAAGTTATGTGTCCTGCAATCCATCCCAAATGCACCATTCATAAATTAGGTACAATACCACCCCTCCAAGAAATCGAGGCGAAATAACAGCAACATTATCTTCTAGCAACTCGTCAAAATGAATTGTAAATATCCCTCAGAAGACTTGTACTATTTAAAAGAGGACCAAACGTAGTCGTCATCGAGCTTCTTGGCGCCATTTGGAGTCCACTGCCAGACACCTCTGCGCGATGCCCGACTGAAAGCCTCTCGTTTAGCACGGCGAGAAATGGCACTGGAACGACAGGAGGCAGCTTCACAGGTGTTGTCCGTCCAGCCAACGTGGAAATCGTCTCCCCACCAAGCTCTCAGTTCCAGCCCAACACGGACTGTGATTAAGATGGAGGTGAGATCGTTGTAGCCATCAAGCTGAACTGGGATGAGGGAGCAAGGACCTTGAGGGAAATTTGAACAAGCTGGAACGCGTTTTGTCTCTGACCAGTTAAGTGAAGTCTCAGAGCCCGAAGTCTCATTGTACGTGTATGCTGAGAACTCGAACTCGCACCATTGCTCTACTCCCTCAGCTGCACAGCCAAGGCTGGCTCCATAGAAGTTGAAGCGGAAGCAGGGAGATATTTCGTTTGGTCCGACGCCGATTTCTGCTGTATCTCCAGCCCCATCAAAAGGGGCATCTGGAACTAAAGCTAGGGGCATGAACTGCAGGAGCTGATTTCCGGATGACGCAAGGTATGCATCTGATGGCGGTGAAGAGGGAGGTGCCACAAGAAAGCCCTCCGAGAACCACAGATCTCCAGAAGGATTCAGGAGAGGACCAGGGAGCACGTTATCGAACTATGCCAGTCAGTTGTGTTCTTGCAAAAGGCCAAGTGTTGCTCACATTCACGGTTGAGTTGCCCACTCTACTTCCCCCGGAAGCGCATATAGTGGGAGATGGGTCCTGAGGCTGAATTGCCGAAGTGTGTATGGAGCTTGATGGAGTTGTACTTGCCGAGATTGTACTTGTCGGAACTGCGATTGTAATTGGCGTCACCAATTGTGATGAAAGACTTGAAATCAACGAGGTGTTTTCGGTAAGAGGGGATGGAGTGGTGGTGCTCGAGTTTGAGAAAAGTAATGACGTGCCAACGGAGCTAAAATAGGTCATTAAGCAGTTTTTCTAGAATAGGGAGTTGAAAAATCCTATTACCACATACCCTTGTCTTCTCGGGAGACGTTTACGAAATGCTGACACACGCGGAACCGTAACAGTAGCCATTGTAGTCAACGGGAACTTGATGACATATGTTGTGGTCTGCTCAGTGATAGTATTGGTCCATGTGCTAGTGACAAGTGTTGTCACAGACTCTGGAGTGGCAGGAGCAGGCAACGGCTCAGGTGTGGTTCCGGGAGCTACAGGCGCAGGTGTTGGTACAAAAGCAGGCTCAGATGTCCCAGGAACAGGTGTTGGCACAGGAGCAGGTGTTGGCACAGGAGCAGGTGTTGGCACAGGAGCAGGTGTTGGCACGGGAGCAGACTCAGGAGTTTCCGGCATTGGAGTGAAGGGAGGTGTGGGTGCTGGGAAAGAACCATAAATAATCGAGAAAATCCAATCGCTGTCCGGAGAGCTCGTCCCATACTGCATGGGAGAAGAACGAACGGTGTCCTGAGAACCGATTGTAGTAGTTCTATAAGAGAAATTGGGTAAAGCAGTGGCAAGAGTGTATGCCGGAGGCTCTTCTGTGATGGCATGAGAGACTTCGAACCCGGGAGGAGGAGGGACAAAAGTAGGCATTGAACCTATTCCCGAAACAACAGAAGAAAAGCTTGATGGGCTTTCTCCAGTTGCACTGACAGTGCCATAAGGCGTCAGAAGCGGCACGTTACCGGAAGATACGGTTACAGCAGGCTGTGGAAAACTGGATGTAACTGCTGCAGGAAGCGAGGCAGGAATATTCGAGATAATTGAACCCGAAGGGGCAGTGATGGTCTGAATGATTGGCGAAACAGTGCCATCTGCACCAATAACTTTCCACGTTATAGTAGTCACAATGCTGTTGCTTGTGATAGGTGGCTGACTGGCAAGATTTGTCATGGAAGCTGGAGCCACGAAAGAAGGAGGCGCCAGAGTGAAAGTTGTTGCAGTTGGTGCACCAGTTGGAGCGATGATTGTCAGCTCCGTAACAGTTGGACGCATGTCTGGCCCTACAACTGTGACGGTGGTGCAGGTCGGAATGCCCATGACTGAGGTAATAGGGCTCCCAGAAGTAGCTTCGGAGGCAGCTTTTGCGGGAAGGCCAGAGACAATTCGCCCTGAAGAAAAGACTTCCGAGGGAAGAGGATTGAGGCCAGACATGAGCGAAGTAGGGGGAACAGGAATTATCCATGTTGTGTCAATGATAGTCGAAGAGCCATCAGGACCTATAGCAGTGAAACTTGTATGGACAGGCAGCCCTGAAGAAGTAATGCTAGCATAGGATGGAACCGGGATACCGGGCGCAGTGACTGAAGCTGAATTATCCTGGATTGCAGTCCCCGGAATCGCCGATGTAGAAGCACCAGCCGGCTCCGTGATGATAATGGATTCAACCACGGTAGAACGGCCATCCTGACCACCAACAGTGTGCGTGATACGCGTGGCAACGTTCAAAGGGGACTCGGTCACAGATGAGCTGACTCCAGTACCTTTGACGTCTGAGGCAACACTCCTTGCACTTGAAGTAGAGCCCTTCCCCGCAGGTGCAACGGTAAGGGTAACAGTGCGGGTGGACAAGACTGTGCGGGAAATCGTGGAGTACTCCAGCGATGAGATTTCAGATGTAGGATGACCAGCTTCGGAGTGGCTTGAGAAACCCATGGTAGGCTCATAGGCCGGCACGGAATCAGTTGTTGCGGCACCGACACTTAGATCAGTCTTGACCTGTGATTGTACCGGAGACACAATGATGGTGGTGGTTCCAACGCTTGCTCTAGCGGGAGCTGACTCCGTTGATAGCTTGCTAGCCGAGCCTAGAGTGACGAATATGGTCTTGGTAGACTCGATCCTGCAGGCACCCGCCATGGAGCTGGAAAGTGTGCCAGGCTGGCTGCCGACGAGAGAACTGGAGTAATTTTCCCTACATGAGCGGTCAGTCCCGGGAATCCCTTACAGGCGATTATCACTTACGAATATTCAGGTGAACCCAACGCCAGACTGGCAACTAGCCAGCAGCCCAGGAACGGGCCCTTGATGGCTAGAGAAATCATTGACGATAACCAAATTGGTGTTGATGAGACCAAAGAGGGTGAGATAAGGGGTGATACTGTTGCGATGAAGAGTTAAAGCGAGACCGGGGAAGGGACACAGGAAACATACGAGAAGTGGCGGGAGTAGCGCCCAGAATTGAAGCGTAACGAGTGCAGAGAAAAAACGAAAGGAGAGGAGTATGGTGATGAAAGAAGGACTAAAGTTGAAATCGCGAATCGAGATGGACGTTGAAGTAGAAGAAGGATTTCGTTTGCAAACAGCAAAAGAAAGGGAAGGAAGAGGGCAAGTACTGGCGCGAGGTTTTGCCTGCCAGCTGCCAGCAGCTGGCAGCTGGCAGCCCAATGTACGCGATGACTACCGTTTGAAGGTGGTTTGGTTTTCTACACACCGTGAGCTTGGGGTGTTAACTATATGAGGGGAATATCCCAACCGAATTCTGTATATTCAAGGCGCTGAATGAAGATGGAACTTCGCGCTGCTGCTGTTCGAAAATACCACAATGTTTGCAGATCAAATCGCAAATATGATGGGAGGCGCCGAACTGAGGTTTGTCGGGCAGCCCGGGGCCCATATTGTCTTCCTAGGCCAGAAAAAGACAGGCGACCCCGTTTGTGAGTCGACATGAGCTATCCTGCCGTGCCGATTACCTCGCCTACAAACCCGATACTGGAGGACCAATTTTATGGAACGAAACATTTTCGTCCAGCCTCGAGCAATTCCCAGTGATTCTACTTTATCCCGAACAAGAGTCCTCTAAGTCTTTCATAGCGCAATCATACAGCCAAATCTGTGTACGGAGGAGGCGCAGTTGGGTCTGCAGACGCTTCCAGATCGCGTTGTCTCGCCTCATGTTCCATCCTTGCGGTCCACAGCGCGGCCCCGGTAGAGGAGGTCAAAAGGAAGAAGAAGGAAAGAATGGGAATAAGCTCCAGAATCATTGCCACGGATCCAAACCATACGTTTTCCCAGCCGAGGCACTTCAGCTCCTTCTTTTGCTCCGCCTTGGACAGTCCGCGAAGCTGGAACCAACGGTAGTGCGCCAGCTTTCCGAGCCGTGTGCCAGTGATCATAATGAACATCGGTGTTCCAACGTAAGGAATAAGATTTAGAGGCAGAAACACGATGAGCTCCAAGATCTGGATGATGCTCCATGGCGTGTATATGGCGGGGCTTGTGGGCTTGCCAAGCATTCTGACGGCATTCGGCGCATCTGGGTATAGGACGCGTTGAGGAGCAACCAGGTCTTCTAGCGAATTTTGAATCAAAGTAGCCTGCAAAAGTAAGTCAAGCTCCCATGTACCAATTTTCAAGACTTACATCGAAGACATCGACGCGGCACTCATCAACAAAGAAGCCCTCAAAAAGGCCTTGAATAATGATCAATCCTTCACCCAACACCAGCACGACCGCATTCACCCATGCACCCCATCCATGGAAGATTGCTAAAAAAGCAAATTGCGGTAGAAAAGTGAAGGCAAACAATATGAAGTAAACGACAAGCGAAATGAGCGAAAGCGGTAGCAGGCGTGCGAGAAATAGCGGCCAGAACTCCCTTGTTCGACTAAAGTACCAGATGCCGCGCAGCGGGTACGAGGCGGCTCTGCTGGCTCTGCGCACGTATGAGACTGGCCGGGAAGATATCAAACGGTCCATTATAGCTTTCTCCGTCGAAATTCTGGCGGTATCGAGGGTTACGAGAACTGCGATGCTAACAATCGATGAGAAACGTAGAAGTATGTGCCGACGGCCTACGTCATTTTTAAGGAGTCTTGCTAGTCAGACCTTATGATTTTACTTATTAGACCTACCACGTGACTACCCCGCGCTTCTAAAAAGGGCTTAGCTAGTTTAGTACCTTAATTTTAACATATAGCCTACTAAAATCTAAGTACTATACTAGATAGCACTTTTAATATAAGGGTTATAATAACCTTATAGTAGCTAGCTACTAAAACTAAAACTTACCTCCTTTATTATCTCTTTCTACTATAATAAGTAACTTAAAAGATAAGGAAATTCTATTACTACTAGCTTTATTAATATATAAGTTATTTAATAAGCTTTATATAAATTTATAATACTTTTTTAAGTATAATAAAGCTATATTAGTTAAGTAAAGAAGCTAGACTCCTTAACTTATTAATAATATTTTAATAATTATAAATTATATCTTTATTTAGAATTAAAATTAAGGTAATTATAATAAAGGCTTAAGGTTTTAAGAAGATAATATATAAAAATTAAATTATTTATTTTAAATTACTATAAAAACTTTCTAAACTACTAATAAAATTTAAATAATATAGTTAATAAATAAGTAACGTAAATAAATAAGTAATATACCTATATTAGAAAATACCGTCTCTTA